GAGGGAGGCCTTTTCTGAGAACATCATCCAGGGTTGCACTGAGCAGCAGCTCTTGCTGCTAGATGAACATCTGGAGAACAGCCTCTGTGCTTCTTCAGCCTCAGGGTGCTTTTTAAGTCACCCTTGTTATGAAATGTACTCCAGGCCTGAGAAATTCACTGGGAGCTGGTGCCAGCATCAGGAAGAAGAGGAGTAAATTTATGAGTTGGTATTACAACATTCCTCACTTACAGAATTGGGAACAGGCTCACCTGCTCACCCAAAACAAGACACGGCAATTAGCAGGCAGAGATAAAAAAAGAGACTGACTTTCCAAGACAGCACGCCAAGATGTGGTGCGCCCAATGCCAAGAGCATCTTCTGCTTTGCTCATATCTGACAAAAAGGGAAGCAAAGAGCAACACTGCGACCACAACAGCCTCAATGGCTGCTGTGTTTCTGGACTCCAGGCAGAAGGGCAGTCCAGAGAGGGAACATCCTGGGCATAAGCATCAAGCTCCCACCAGTTCGGGGAGAGCTGTCAAGGCCGACAATTCCTTTCCCCTACCCTGGCAAGAAGGAAGTAGTCGCAAATCTTTAAGCTGCTTGTAGCAAGGGGAGGAGCTGGTATCACATTAACTACAGGAAAATATATCTATTAACCAAGCGCAGATGGGATGGTCTGAGCAGGATGTGGGAGACGCCTGTATTGGCAAACTCTAACCACTCAGCAGGGAGTGCATGGTGGTCAGCAGTCCACCCCATGCTTCCCACCCAGCCTGGTTAGCCTGTTTTTCACTTGAACAAGTCTGACTAGTATTTCATGTTCTGACTCTGTCCCTGCCTCTTTGATGCCAGCATTCATTTCTAGCCTTTCTCCATTGCCCTCCCATCTTTTGGTTACCTCAATGCACATGTTTCAGAACAAAATTATCTTACAAGGCTATCACAGGGCAGCAGCCAGAACATTCCTGTCTGCCTTCCACAGGAGGTGTGAGGACCCAGCTCTCAGCCAGGTCTGAACAATCAGTGCTTTGCTCCTGCTCCTCATGAACTACATTAAAGTAAAAAAAGGAAACGAAAGGGAAGGTGGAAAGCAGTATAAAGGAAGTTTCTCGGGTATCTCATGCCAATAAGGCTCTGGTGTTTTCTTCTCAGCTGGGTGGTGCTTCTTACTATTCCAAAGACTCAAAACCCAAAAGATTGAGTCACAGCCATAAGTGCAATCTTGCGACCTGAAGCAAGGCCAGTCAGAGTGGTTAGAAGCACTGAAGATACGAGAACACATGGATACGCTGGCCCTGAGCCATGGCTGTTCTCAACGTGTTTACAGCTTGTCAGCCTAAGTACTTCAGTTTACTAACCAGGTTGGCATTGCATGTTGTATTCAATTACTGCGAGCCTGAGACTCACCAGCTCCAAGGATTAGACCGATTCAGCCCTTCCTGACACTGTTTAGAGAACTCTGAGTTTCTGGTTGCTGTTTACATTAATAGCAGTGTTTTCTTGCAAATGTTGGAAGAATGCAGATTAAGAATCTAGAAACCACAATATATCAGATTTTGCAAAGTGGTTGCTGCCGGCACAGCTCTGCAAAAAGAATCAGGGATTCAAAGTGGGTGTATATAAAAGACACTTTAACTCTCAGACCTTCTTTTGGTTCATATGCTGTAGAGTGAATACATTCAAAGGAGAAGTTTCCCATAAGGACAGCTCAGAATCTCATAGAGAAGCTGCCCAACTACAAAAGAGACAAACCATTCATTTCCATTTTTAACGTATAAATATCTTCGAAAGCTTCTGCTAAACAAGCTGGAGGTGTCTCATTGTCTTGGTGATATTAAACAGGGTGAATTCTGTAATTAAGATAATCATGTTCCATGCAGGGAGGGGAAGAAGCAGGGCAATAAGCCAGCATTATTTATAACCTCAGTACTGGTGTGCCAGTTCTCCTCAGGAAGGGCTGTGCATCCAGGCAGAGCCCTTAAGGAGCAAAGAGTTGGAGATTAAAAAGGAAAAGTTGCATCTGTTGGGGGTGGTGAGGGAAAAGTGACAGTAGAACAAAAC